GAGACTTGAACTGATAAAAAAAAAACTTAAAAAAATTTTTTATCCTGAAACTCAGATAAGCCTTTAAGGAAATCCATCAGCAGCCCTTCATGTAGCAAATCTCTGAGTAAAAGAAACTTCTATACAACCTTTTACTCTGCTTTTTGTTTCTGGAACATTAAAAAATACAGATAAAGTGTTTAAAAGCACAAGTCTAGAACCTAACTGACTGAATTCAAATCCTGACTCTGGTTCTTACTTTTGTTACCCCAGGTAAGTTCTTGCCCTCTCCTTGCCTCAGCTGTAAAATGGAGATCAGTAGCAGAAACAAAACCAAATCTCACGAGATTATTAGGAGAACTAAATAAGTAAATAAATATAAAACACTTGGCGCAGTGCCTGGCACAAAAGTACTCAATAAACGTTAGCAATTATTATACAATTTATATAATGCTTTACAGTTGACAAAACATGGTATCTCTTGATCCCTATCACTGAAATTTCATCAACTCAGGGTGATCTAATTTCCAAGACATATCATGAAACTCAAAAAAATTCCCAAAACTGATTCTGATTAACTTAAATTCCTTTATGTCCCAAGTACATTAAGGAAACTGAGCTACACTGAAACCAAACTATGGTCTGTAATAAGGTAGGGTAGTATAAATATAGTCCTCACCCAATACAGAAGGATTTGCAAGACATTCTGGAAATTGATACAGCCTCATTTCAAAGTTATCCCCTCCAACCTTAAGAAGGCTCTACTTGTATAAATGAGCAATTCTGAAAAGCAGTCAGTCTGAGGAACATGATCTGGCAAACTTAGAGAAGAGGATAGAAGAGCCAGGAGGAAGGAGTTCGCCACTGCTGACCTACTGGGTCTTGAGTCACCCTACATGGAGTGCTGTAATCTGTTCCAGGGAAGAAGCTATAATTCATCCTTATTCCTGAAATATGGAAGTTTGGCAAAAGGACAGACAACACTCCAGGCACTATAAATTTGGTTGCCTGGCAGGGCTTATAGTTCACTTACTGCATTTTTTTCAAGCATCAAGTTCCCTAGAATATTAATTATCTTTTAACTATTATTCAGCAAGACAGACTAAAGGTAAGGGGGATCCTAAAATCATCAAAGGACATCCTCACAACCGCCCTGTTATGCTCTGAAAAACATTCATATAGGTCCACAGGGAAACAGTACGGTTGTAGCCTTGTAAAGGGTTATAAACGTGAAAGCACTGTACACTGAAGTAATTAACACCTCTCTCAATTACTCTCTCTGGATACTTAAGACATAAACTCATTGCCTCATTTTATTCACACCACTCAGCAAAACCAGACTTTAAAAATATGGAAATAGGGATTCCAAAATAGTGCCCAAAGCAGACCTCCCCCAAACCACAAGGTCACATCAGTCTTAACTTTAAAAATGTGGTTTCTGGGACTTCCCTGGTGGTCCAGTGGTAAAGAATCCACCTTACAATGCAGGGAACGTGGGGATCGGGGAACTAAGATCCCACGTGCCGCGGGGGCCCGCGCAACAACTACTGAGCTTGCGCACCTCAACTAGAGAGCCTGCGTGCTGCAAATTAGAGAGCCCATGAGCTCTGGAACCCGGGCACCACAGCTACAGAAGAGAAAACCCAACACCACAACTAGAGAGAAGCCCGCGTGCCACAATGAAAGATCCCACATGCCTCAGTGAAGATCCTGTGTGCCTCAACTAAGACCTGATTGCAGCCAAAAATAAAATAAATAGATCTTTTTTTAAAATTTTTTTTTTTTAAGACTTTCATATCTGACTTAACAAATTATCACAGTCCATATGTTTTGTTTATGAAACTAGCTGGGATGTGAGATGCAAATAGTTGCTCACAGTACACTTATGGAAAAGCACAGACTCTTCTGGGCTTTCTTTTTTTTAACTCTAGATAGAACAAAGCCTTCAAGTTTTCTCTTTTCAACTTCCCACACTGGGTTGGGTTGAAGAAAGTGAGGAAAAGGGACAGCAGCAAAAGTTACCCTGACAATAGCCTAAAGTGCTTCAGCAAGTTGGAAGCCTACTCCCATCTATCATACCTTATTCAGGAAGTTAACTTTAAGGCCACAGCACACCCCACCCAGAAGGCAGGAGTGAGTTACAAAAGCACCCAGAGAAGCAAGGTGAGCAGAACAAATGCTCCGAAGAAATGTGTCGTCATCTCTGGGTGATAGGATTCTGGGAGATTTTTATTTCTCTTTGCATTCTTCTGTGTTTTGTATACGTCATACAACACATATTCCATTTTTAATCAGTTTCTTTTGTAAAACACCTTACTATGTTGTGTGACAACCTGACGTTCCGATACTTTGTGGATGGGGCCTAGTAATAAGCAATAATCTTAGCTATTGACAGCACTTTAATGCCTGCAGATTAGGGACTTTTTCCTCACAAGGCAGCACTCATATTTCTAGAATACTGCTTTTTAGAGGTCATGGTTCCACTAGTTTAAAAGAGATTATGTTATGTGAGTTTTGGGCTTATTTGCCAGGTTTAAAAGGAAGTGTGTGCAGTTTATGACAACTATACATTAAAAAACTATTAAAAGAAAAAAAGGAAATGTGAAAAAAGAAAGAAATTACTTTTTAATAGTAGGTTCTTTAATGCTCTATCCTGGCTACCAGGCAGCACTACTTCCACTGTAGGGAATCCATCACAGTTTATAAATCATTTCTATGTACAAATTTTCACTCGATCCTTACGTCTGTAAAGTAGCCAGAAGTTAAGGATCGGCCTAAGAAAACTTATCTATCCAGCAGTATTAAAGGAACCAGAACCTGCACATACCTTCAGAGTGGAAGCCAAAGGCAGGATTCTAGTCATACTAACTTGCTGTGTGATCTTGGGCAATTTAATCTCCCTGAGCCCTTATTTCCTGTTTACAAAATGGACTGGTAGATCTGAGAAATGCAAAGCTGCTTAATACTTTATGGGCTTCCAAAGTCCTCTGCTGGAATGCTAGTTCTGACATCTCTGCTTGACGAAATCCTTTTCACCCTTCAGTAATATTCCACTTCCTTTGACATCTGATCCCACTGCTAAAACTGAACCCTCCAGCCCTCCAAATCGCTGTTAATGGCTCTATTTCTACCTCCTATACCAACTGGTAGTAAATCTCTTACAACACTTGCAAGTACTTTACCACAGAAAACCAAACACAGAATAGCACCCCAGAGAACTCTGCACTATATAGGTACTTTATTTGTTAAAGGTTATGAAAAGCTTAGAAAATGGGTAGAAACAAAACAAGCATGAGACACTGCCAGTCTCAGAACTTTTGAAATACAGTGGCCTAGAGCAATGTCTACCATGACCTCCAAGCAAGAACCACACACCTCCCTTAGACTCAGTTTCCTTCCTAAGAGAGCGAGACCCTCCTAGTCACCTAAATGGAGATTTGGAATTCTACTACTGGCTCAGCCACTTACTATTTGATCATGAGCATCATACAACTCTCTAAAAGCCTCGGTTTTCTCATTTCTAAAATGGGCATAACAATACCCACCTTAAAGGGTTGTCATGAGAATCAAATGAGAGCTCAGAATCCCCTCCAGAATAAAATCCAAATTCCTTAACTTGGTCTTCAAATCCCTCCATGAACTACCTACTACCTATACTTCAAGGGATTAACTCTAACCAAATTGGATAATATTCTACTCCCTTGCCCTGGATCAGGCCTTTCCACTACTTGAGGAAATTCAAAGCATTTCCAAGGTCTACCTCAAAAGCCAAAGCTCGAAAAAGACTCGAATTTTTTTCTTCCTTCTCTCCGAGGCCCTATTGGCCAAGCACTCAAATGTTTACAGAAATTAATTATAAATTCAAGGGTTTTTTTCTGGTGGGGAGAGCTGGCCGGTAAGCGGTAGCTCTCCCAGCAGTGTTTATACCTACGGATATCACTTAAAGTCAAATTTCATTTTAGGTCGTTTGGTTTTAAATAAACTGGGATAAATCTGGCCAAAAAGGGATTTGAGGAAATTTGCTGAGGTACAAGCACGACAGTATAAAAAGACCCAGGCATCTTTGCAACTCAGACTTCCCGCTGACGTCGCTGAGAGCTCTGCTAAGGAAGGCTCAGGGACTCCCGCCCTAAAACTTTCCGAAAAAGTTAATCACTTTTTCAGGCTGAAGGATCTTTTCCTCTCGTCCTACCCCCCTCTACATGAGAACAAGAGTGGGTGCCGGGCAGGACAAGCCAGCCTGCAAAGTTTTAAACTAGGGCGCTCCACCGGAGCCAAGAGACGCTCCTCTAGGCACCACCAGCGCCCAGACAGTGAGAGTTGAAGCTGCACCGTCAAATCGAAGGGAATGCAGGGGCCGCCAGCCCCAATCTCGTTCAGCTGGGGCATTAACCGGGCATGCAAGCTCTCTTCTGGAGGGCGACTCAACGTGCTCTCCATTCCGGAAACGCCGGCCACGGGAGGACGCCGGCCTCAGCGCCGCCACCCTGAGGAGAGCGGGGCACGGCCAAGCCGCGGTTCCGGAGCCCTCGCCGGCTCTGCCGCTCCGCGTCGCCTAGGCCCGGCTGCCCCACATGGCGGCGGCCGGCCGCTAGGCCGCAGGCCCAGTCTCCCACACTGGGGTGGGTCTGTCTCACTGCCTCCGTCCCTAGACCTAGCGCCAGCCTCAGGCCCTCACCTCGTCCCCGGACATGGCTGCGGCTCGAGTGGGCTCGGCACGGACGGAAAGTCTGACAGGTCAGCCCCAGGCCCAGGCTTCAGCGTTGCTCCTGCCGACACCTCTCCCACCACCGCACTAGGCTCTTGCATCAGCGAAAGGGAACAACACCCCGCCCTCTCTTCCCAAGAGTTAGAAATGCGCCTGCGCAGAGACCGCCAAGGCGCAGGCGCGCAGCGAAGCCGACCTAGCGCGCTCCGACTGGCGCAAGTTACCAGGCGACGCCGCGGCGACAGGCAAGCCGGGACTTGTAGTCCGCCTAGGAGAGGCGGGCGCTAGCGCGGCCGCCCCGCGACCCGTGCGCGTGCGCGACGTCTGAGGAAGCCGGCACGGAAGGTTCGATTTTGCCTGGGGGCTGCCCTTACCTTAGCTTTTGGAGGCGTGGAGAGGCCGCGCAGTTCTGCGTCGCTTGCGGAGTGAATTCGAGGTGGTTTCTCTTGGGTTAGGGTGGTGGGTAAGGCACTCAGTAATATGAACCCGTCGGGGCTTGTTTCCCTGCTGCTCCCTCCACCGTGCTCCATTGGGGTGTTCTAGTGTTTCAGGAACTCAAAGTTGGAGCTAGAGGCGCACACCTCACTAAAGGGTTTTACTTCACGAGAAATTTAACTCAACAGGCTGGATTTGAACTTGGGAGGTCGGCTTCTCCCTGTAGACGGGAGAGGAGACGTCCCCTGAGGAGAAGCGGCCTGGCAGGAGGCATTCTGTCGGGAAACCTTGAAATCCTTGTTTGCGAAGTCTCAGCTTGAACGCTGCGGGTGCAGTTCCCCTTGAGGCATGATGATAGCAGTTACCCTTTAGGGGGCTTTCACTATTGTCAATGCCTTCCAGCCAAATACCACCGAGATCACCTGTCTAGTTGATCAAAGCTGGGCTTCGACTTCCCTGGTGATCCAGTAGTTAAGAATCCGCCTGCCAATGCGGAGATACGGGTTCGAGCTCTGGTCCGGGAAGATCCCACATGCTGCAGAGCAGCTAACTCTGTGCACCACGAGTACTGAGCCTGTGCTCTAGAGCCCGCGAGCCACAACTACTGAAGCCCACGTGCCACAATTAACAAGCCCAGGCGCCTAGAGCCCCTACTCTGCGACAAGAGAAGCCACCGCAATGAGAAGCCCGCGCACCGCAATGAAGAGTAGCCCCCCCAGTCGCGGCAACTAGCGCAGCAACGAAGACACAACACAGCCATAAATTTTAAAAAAACCTGAGCTTATTGTCTCCTTGTAAGGAGGGGAGACACAGCATGAGGCACAGGGAGACATCTCAGGAAGAGGGTGCTGGAAAGAATTTACAGGGTTTGGGCTTGTGTTAGGTAATTTGGAGGAGGGCTCCAGGAAGCGGGCCTTCTCTCTGGATTGGATGCTATTAGGAGGTGAAGGTAATTCTATGATGGGTTATTTTAATCATTATTATCTAAAAAGGGAGAAGCACCCTCATGTTAGCCAGGATAGGGGGATATTTGGTCTTTTTGTTTTGTTTGTTTTTCTTTTGTGGTTGGGACAGCATTCTTGTTTGTATTCAAACATGTTTATGGAGTGGTTTTGTTTTTGTCTTATCCATCATGGTCACAGAGTGGCTTTGTCTGATGTTGGTGTTTTGTGAAATTGTTTATGTTCAGTAGGGCAGCACATCCTAGTTGATAACACCAGCCTAGCTCCCCATATTCAGGAGCTGCTTTTCTCCCTCTCACTGTGCTTCATATCACTTAGTGTATATTCCATGCTTTGGGCCTCAAAACAACTGTGTGAGACAATCCACAAATAGTTTGTACTCTCCATTGGATACTAGTCCCTAATGTAAGTGTGGTAGGTAAAGTTAGGTCCCTGCCTCCAAGGAGCTTATAGCTCAGTGAGAGTGATCCAAGCCCAGGCAATCTGATGCCAGTGGCTGCTGCTTTACCACCTTGAGAATCTGTATTCCTAAGGGGACTACACTGCCTCCTCAGTAATTTTCAGCTACTGATATCTGTGCATACCAGGATTTCTCAACAGCAGCACTCTCGACATTTTGGGCCAGATAATTCTTTGTTATTGGTGGCTGTTCTGTGCAGTGTAGGATGTTTAGCAGTATCCCTGGCCTCTATTCACTAGATGCCAGTGGCACCCTCTCCCTAATTGTGACAACCAAAAATGTCTCCAGCAATTACCAAATCACCCCTGGTCAAAAGCCACTGGTGAATACCATTTGTATCCTCCTGGTCTCTGAGACCTCCAAACAAATATTTGGAGCATGACAGTCCCCAAATCACTTTGAGTGGGGAGGCCTTGAAGAGGAGAGAAGGAAACAATGTGGCCTACGTTTTTGAAAAGCCCATCCAACTAGGAGAATGAAGACTGAGACAAAGAGAAGACAAGTGGGAAAAAACAAAGGTAGAAGAGAAATGATAGAGGCAGAGAGGAGCTCATAGGAAATCACCCTTAAGTTACTTAGTTCACACTAACAAAGTTAGTTCACATTAATAAAGACAAAGCCTTAATGAGGCCTCGCTGTACTGCCACTCCCTGTTTGGGAAATGCTGGTCTGATTAGCAAATAGTGTTGAACACTTTTGTGAAAAGATTTATTTTCTTTTACAGCATGGTACCAGATACGACCTCCCTGAACTGGTTGCTTGCAAGAGACTTTCTTCAGAGATTTCAGGTTACCCTCAAGGTAGTTGTTTTCTTGGGAAAGCCAAGATTCCCTGGGGAGTTGGCAAAAGTCACAAAGCAATGGCAGCTAAGTGTTTCCACGTTTTCCAAGAGATAGATTGTACTTAGATTAAGCTAATAAGAACATCAGCACAATAGTTATTTGTATTTTCCTAACCTGTTTCATCCAGGAATCTGTAAAACATATAGACATTTATTAATTTTCTTCTTATAATGGCGAGGGAAATCATTGACATTCTCCTATTTTATAGATACAGAAGCCAAATTATGGAGTCCACAAAAAGTAGTGAGAAATCCAGAACAGCCTCCTGGAATCTTCACTCTGGGCCATTCTTGATGCTCAGCACCACCCCAGATCTCCAGCTTCCTAGTAGTAAGCTACTGAATTTTATGTTTTCATAGGCTTTAAAATATTCCTTAGTCTCTTCACCTGACCCACAAAAACAGGCCTATAGAGGCTATGATTTTAAATAGTGACGGTACTTGAACTAGAACCCAGATCTCATGATATTAGTCCAGTACTCTGTCTACTTAAGCAAGCCCATACATCCTTGTAGGTGATGTTTAACTTAAAGAAAATATAATTAAGATAGAAATTCTAATGCACAGGGAAATCCAGACCTATTCAATCCTTTTCATTCATTTCATGGGGACTTTACGAGTTAGCTTTGATGAGTAAAAGAGAAAGTCACTGAGGTATTAATGAAAAGCATTTAGTAACTCTGAAATTAAATTTGTCTTTGGGTTGATGAGGTAGATGGGAGGTATAGTGAGCACCGCCCCCTTACCCAAAGAAGTCTTGAATAGTTTATCCTCCGAGAACTAAACCAACAGAAATGAATTCTTAATTATTTAATCATATATAGAAACGACTTATGAGATAATGTGTCAATGGGGAGATTTAGGAATCTAGTCTAATGGAAATACTGTCATAATGTCATTATGTCAGTGATTCTCAAATCCATTATTTCCAATCCAAACTTCTCCTCAGAATTCTAGCCTTACATGTCCAAGTGCCTATTTCTTTCCATTTGCTTGTCTCACAGAGATCTCAAAGTTATTGTGTTTATAACAGAACTCTGGGTATGTCCCACTGCAAATCTTCCTCATCTCAATTAACAAGGCACTGCTCTCTACCCAGTTGCTTAAGTCAGAAACTCAGGAGTTAACTCAGTTCCTTCCTTTTCCTCACTTTCTTCATCCAATTCATTATCAAGTCTTATTGATTCAATGTCCAAAATAAATCTCAAATCCAACCACTTTTTTCTCTACTGCCACTAGCCTGGCCCAGGCGATAGTCATCTCTTTCTTGGATACTGCAACAGTCTCCTCTTGCCCCTTTACTTCATAACACTTAACACAATTTGTTTAATTTATTGGTCCGTTTTTCTTACTTGTGATTTAATAATCTCACTTCACTACTAGAATGTATATAAAGTGCTTGAGGATAGGTACAAAATCTATCTTTTTTTTTTTTGGCTGCATTGGGTCTTCGTTGCTGCATGTGGGCTTTCTCTAGTTGCGGTGAGCGGGGGCTACTCTTCATTGCAGTGTGCGGACTTCTCATTGCGGTGGCTTCTCTTGTTGCGGAGCACAGACTCTAGGCACACGGGCTTCAGTAGTTGCAGCACGCGGGCTCAGTAGTTGTGGCTCGCAGGCTGTAGAGCGCAGGCTCAGTAGTTGTGGCACACGGGCTTAGTTGCTCCGCGGCATGTGGGATCTTCCCGGACCAGGGGTCGAACCTGTGTCCCCTGCATTGGCAGGCAGATTCTTAACCACTGTGCCACCAGGGAAGTCCTGTTATTTATTTTTAAGTGCGTATGTCCTTTCTTTCCAGCTAGATTATTAAAATCCTTGAGGGCAATGACTATGTGTACTGTTGCCTCCTACAGTGTGTTAAGTCTAGTAGGATCTTGATGTAAATTGTGTTGTGATTTACAGGGTTACTTAGTGTCTTGGCATCTCTACAGAAGACTTCAAAACTCTTAAGGAAACCACAATGATATACCACCTCACACCAATTGGATGGCTATTAGGGAAAAAAAAAAAGAAAGAAAATGACAAGTGTTAACAAGGATGTGGAGAAATTGGTGTACTGTTAGTTGGAATGTAAAATAGTACAGCCACTGTGTATGGCTGTTCCCCAAAACAATATGGTGGTTCCTCAGGAAATTAAAAATAGTATTACCGTATGATACAGCAATTCCAATTCTGGGTATGTATCCAAAAAAATTGAAAGCTGAGTCTCAAAGAGATATTTGTATACCTATATGTATAGCAGCATTATTCACAATAGCCAACAGGTGCAAGCAACCCAAATGTCCATTGATAGATGAATGGATAAACAAAATGTGTTATATACATGTAATGGAATGTTATTCAGCCTTAAAAAGAAGGAAATTCTGACATGCTATAACATGGATGAAACTCGAGGACATTATGTTAAGTGAAATAAGCCAGTCACAAAAAGATAAATACTGTATGATCCCATTTATATGAAGTACTTAGGGTAGTCAAATTCATAGAAACAGAAAGTAGAATGGTGGTTGCCAGAGTCTGGGGGATGAGGGAGAATGGAGAATTGTTGTTTAATGGGTATAGAGTTTTAGTTTTGCAGGATAAAAGGTGTTCTGGAGATTGGTTGCACAACGTGGTGAATGTACTTAGTTGTACACAAAAATGGTTAAGATGGTACATGTTTTTTTTTTGCGGTACGCGGGCCTCTCACTGTTGTGGCCTCTCCCGTTGCGGACCACAGGCTCCAGACGCGCAGGCTCAGCAGCCATGGCTCACGGGCCCAGCCGTTCCGCGGCATGTGGGATCTTCCCAGACCGGGGCACGAACCCGTGTCCCCTGCATCAGCAGGCGGACTCTCAACCACTGCGCCACCAGGGAAGCCCAAGATGGTAAATTTTATGTTATGTGTATTTAACCAGAATTTTTTTTTCAAAAGACCACTGAACAGGGAATCAAAAGACCAAGGTTGGAGTTCTTTGTTCCTTGATGACTAATGAATCTTGAGCAAGTCACTTTTTCACTCATGCCTTGATTTCTTCATCTTTAAACAGGATAGTAAAACATTCCCAGCTTCTGGGTGTATGTAAGGATCAGAGAGAAAAAAAAAAAAAAATGAATAACTCTTAAGATAATATTTTTGAGTAGTAGTTCCAGTATTCCAGTGTCCCTGATCTCCTTTAATATTCATTACAAATTTTATGTCTTATTTCATAACAAAATATTCCTAAAGATGTCTTAGCGATAACCTGTTACCACTTCAAAGGATATATACGCTGAACTCTTTCAACTTGGGTTGCTCACCTTATAATTTGGTCCTGGGAAAACATCAAATAAAAAGCCTTTATGAGGGCTATTGATGACCTAAGATCCTAATTACTAATGTGGTTTAGCATTAATTGAGCAAATACAAGTTTAGGATTCTCATGTGAACATAATAAAGCTGGTCCCAAATTAAGGGGATAAGAGGAAGAATGAACATCTGCTGAGTACCTAATAACTGTTAGGCCCTATAACAGATGTGTTACATGCATTATCTCATTTAATCCTCACAACAGCATTGTCAGGTTAATAGCATCATACTCGTTTTATAAACGGGGAAAACAAAGCTGAGAGGTTGTCACTTGCCCAGCATCACACAATGAATGACAGAGATGCAATCAAGTGCAGGTCTGTGTGACTCTAAAGCCCATACTCTTTCTACTGTTACACTGCCTCTCAAAATATATTTGACTATGCCTCTTGGTAATAGAGTTAATGGTAAATATTATATATTTGGTATATATTCATACATTTATATCAATTATCTTACCTTAGTCATTACAAGTAAGATAGACTGTGGTAGGAACAATTATCACCACTTTATAGATGATGAAACAGATAGAAAATTTAACTTACCTAACGCCAACATCAACCAGCCAATAAATAATAATAACAGGACTTGAAAATAGGTACTGCAATTCTCAGACCCATGTGTTTTCCACATCAGCCTCATGAGAGCAGAATTTTATCTCTGAATTTTCTGGTTCTGACATTTTTTTATGGGAGCGAAAGAGTGAGCATCTTGAAAGTCCTTCAGTTCTCAGTATACATGGACAGATTAAACACGTCTTCATCCTTATTCTCTCCCCCATTCACTAAAATGATATTGAGTTAATATTTTTAATGTTATCAGTCCACAAGGACAAAGGGAATGAGAAAGATAACAGGGCTTCCCTGGTGGTGCAGTGGTTGAGAGTCCGCCTGCCGATGCAGAGGACATGGGTTCCCGCCCCGGTCCGGGAGGATCCCACATGCCGCGGAGCGGCTGGGCCCGTGAGCCATGGCCGCTGAGCCTGCGCGTCCGGAGCCTGTGGTCCGCAACAGGAAAGGCCACAACAGTGAGAGGCCCGCGTACTGCAAAAAAAAAAAAAAAA